ATCTAACCAGGCTTAGGTTATTTTTGAAAGATGTTTTCACTCGTTTCCCGACTAGTTTCGCATTATATTGATCATCCAATCACTTGCCAGTATTTTATCAGGTCGTCTACCATCCACACCAAGTCAAAATGTTACTTTGTCCAATACTTTTAGTTTAGCTTTAAAATTGTACCTGCTCAATAATGGGAAGTTAGCATTTAGCTCAAAGCACCACTGTGTGTAGATCCGGCCATAAAGAGCCGCCAGCGTGGCTGTAAACTCTTAATGATGTTTAGTCTGTTGAATTCCAGTTCCCCAACTTTATGGACGTGCAATATTAAAATCAAAAAGGCATAACCCTTCATAGCGGTGTTTGGTTACCGTCCTCACTGCTGATAAAAAAAGTACAAACATTACTGCGGCTCACTAACAGCGAGCAGTGCCGGCGACAAGAGAAAGTTCAACTCTCGTATTTAAAGCCGAATGTGATGAGGATGAAACAGAAGAACACACATTTAAATAAAAACATTAAGAAAATAAACTCAAAATAGTCTAAAATCTAAGTGGAAACACTCAGAAATGATCTATACAGCAGGCTGATTTCATATATTTCTAGTGCGTCAGGTCATTGATGATTAACCTTTCACACTGCTGACATTTTATATTTCTACGACAACAGCTGATGCAGACGATTTTTAAAAGGTGAACACCCTTAGTTCTTCTCATAAATCCTTACATAAATGTCCCAGTACATGTTGAAATGCATGAAAATACTGCTGATCACGGGTTGGGTTGAGGCAGGAGTCACTGCACCACGATCAGAGCGTGATTACTGCTTACTATGAGGTCTGTGAGGTAGTCCTTCTCATAACTGTCTCCGTGCTTTTCTTCTTTGGCGTTGACGGAGAGTGTGTAGTTGTAGTACTGCGAGTTCCCCACCTGTAACCATACAGCAAAAGGCTGTGACAGCAGAACCTGTAAATACAGTATTTAATGTGTGTGTTAAGGTGTGTGTGTGTTCATGAAGACTTACCAGTGCATGCCACTGATCCCAGCCAGGTGGAACGTGGCCAACGTCTCCTGCGTCTTTCTTTCCATACTGACGGCAGAAAAACAAAATAATACAACAAGAGTCTACAGCTTAAAGCTATATGCTAACATGTTAATCAAGTGTAAAGCTTCTTGTGTTTACTGGGGATAGCTCTATTATCTGTATCAGTTCAACAGAAGTTGTTCATTTAAGCCTGAAATTGATATGAGTTGATCAAAAGTTGCTGTACGTATTAGAAAACTGTTTTCAGAACAGTACGGAAGCCCTGAAAGGCAAATTATTATTTTATGTTTTGATGTTTTTCTACCTGTGAAAAGAAAAGTTTAAAAACAAAAACCCTTTTTCCTCGCTGTGAAAACGAATGAAAAATGTCTTTAAAAAAACAAAAACCTGTTAAAAAACATGAGAAAAATAATAATAATTTGCCTTTCAGGGCTTCCGTAGGACAGAGTAAAATAAATATTTAAAGTTGCTTATTATATTAACACATTTTACTCTAATGATACTCGTAAAAACAACATTATCTGTACCGGACACTTATTTCAGCCGAGTTCTCGCTCAACCCCTAAATGTTCACCAGAGCTTGTTAGCATTTAGCTAATTAGCAGCTAACACAAAGTGCAGCTGCGACTGATGGGAATGTCGTTTTGGCCATAAAATATAAAAATTTTGACCTGACGGTGGCGCTATATGAGGGCGTGAAGAACGTTATTCATCCTGTGGGGAATGTGAATGTTTGCAGTAAACTTTATGGCAATCCATCCAATAGTTGTCAGTGAAGTTATCAGGATTCATCCTCTGACGCCTCTGTGTAACACTTCACAGCAGTCCAACTGATATGTAGAGTCATTCCAGTCGTCTCTTGCAGCTAACACGACTAACAACTGCTGGTAAAAATGACTCAAGGCTCAAATATGTAGTTTGGAAGTCAGTTACAGGAAGTCACAACCCGCCTACCAGTGGCTGAGGTGAGATATAATGTATGAGTACTATTGACCTCCTCTAGTCTCCATCACCCAACATATCCTTTTATTTAAGTATCCCAAGCTCTCCTGGTGGTTTCCTGTAACATTATATTGATCTGTTTGGACAGGAATCTCTCCAGCATGAACAAACTTTTCATCTGAGATATTTTGCAATAAGTTTGTTTAGTCATGTGTTTCTTGTTCAAGCTTCAGGTTGTGTGTGTTTGTTTTTTTATATCATGTTCCCGAGGCTATGCTGTTGCACTTTCACTTTAAGTATTTTTCTAAGACGCAGTCACACAATCCAGAATAACAAGTTCAGTCCACTTCTTTAATCCAGACTGAAATATATCAACAGCTGTCGGATGGATGGATGGATGCCATTAAATCAGGTTCAGACACTCGAGTTCTCAGGATGGATTGTAAAAACTTTGGTGATCCTCTGATGATCAGTGGTTCCCAACAAAGCTTCATATTCTTGATTTTAAGGGGTAAATGAGACCTTAAACAATATACACAGTGGGCTTATATCTCTGGTTCACAAGCCTATTAAGTCTGTATGATTGTTAAAAATTATGAAATACATAAAACAGGCAGATTATTATATAATAGTGTCCAGAAGGGACAAACTGGTTCTAGACAGTGTTTGTTTTTTCCAAGTTTTGAAGCCACTATAGTTTCTCCTACACCAACCTTTTTCTTGAAGGAACCTTTTCTGTCATTTATTAAACTGAC